CACCACACAAGTACATAACAGCATATACTGGCTTCTTCAGACAGTTAATCTTACATGTCTCACACGGGCTATAATAAAGGGAAGGTAATCAAGAAGAGAGATCACAGACTTCCGCAGTGACACAGGGGAACACCAGGATGACTTCATCCAGCCTGACACCAGTAGCCATAATGTCTGCCTAGGTCAGAGTGAAATACAAGGGGAGCACACAGGGTTACTTACTATCAACACCTTTCCAACATCCCATAACACAAAGCTTAAACAAATGCTATGCCAGAGGTGGTACAGAGATATTTAATAACATACTAGGAGCTTTGCCAAACCCTTCCCAAGCCCTTTAACACCACAGTATTCTGTGGCAAGAAGTCCCACAGCTTAACTGACATATGAAAAAGAAAAAAATCTCCCTTTAATTGACAGTGAATATAAAGACATTAAGAAAGGACAGAGTTCAGAACACAGAGAACAGCAAATAAGATAAGAAAATAAAAGGGAAGGGCATAAAATACAACAAAGGGCAGCATTAGCTCAGAGGAGCACACAGAGAAGAGTACAGGCTTATTCATAAATCAAGCCTTAAATTTTCCACTAGAGGTGACACAAATGGGAGAGAGACAGAAAGGGGGGGCAGGCTACAAGCTTCTTTCTGTTCTTTTCCTTGCTTTTACATTTCTAACTACAAAAGAAAAACCTCGTGGCTTTTTAAAGCACATCTTAGGATTTCTAAATTGCTCCTGTGACTTCACACTTGAATGGCTGCAATTACTACTTCTTAGACAATAAAACCTCACAGTATCAAATAGTTCTAAAAAATCAGTTTGTCGATGAGTTAGGTGGTTTCATGTGGACCAAGAGCAAGATGTTATCTAGTCAGCATCTGACGGTTTCCAACAAAGAATCACTGCTCGCACACTAGACTCCTGCTCCCTTCATCACACCATTAGCCAGAACTGGGAACTCTGTTCTTGGATAAAATGGCAACACTTAATATTTATCAACTTATTCTTGCTAAATAGGCTTCAATCACACTGAATGTACATTATTTCCCAGATGAAGCACAATACATGGCTGAACAGGGAACAAACTGTCCCTTCCAGCGCTTGCTCTCGAGCTCCACAATCTTCCTTTAGTGCTTTTGCAAGCCTGAAGCTTTGTTCCTGCCATTACTTCCATGTCAGTGCATCCCATGTGAGTTTGTTCCAGGAATTACGTCATTTTGGCAGAAAATATTTACACTAAAACATGTGTAACCTCTATTAAAGTGTCTAAGTCACTTACCATTGATCCACAAGGCAAAAGTGACTTACACAACACCATGCAATTGCAAGGAACGTAAACCCTAAGGTACTTTGGAGGAGCTCTTCCTTTTCCAGCCTCCTCACAACACAGAAAGTCAACCACAGTTATAGGTATGTTTGCTCATGTGCAATTCTGAGATCTCCGGGCTACTAAAATCCCCTGAAATATTTATGCGGCTCAAGTGTTTCTCAGAACAATTAGTTCACTGTGTTTTCTCCCTAATCAACATTTTAGTAGGAGAAAACAGATCACATTAGAAAGGTTTACAATCACGGAAGTTTGAGACCTTAAAGTATTACCAAAGGGAAAAAAAAAAAATTCTCCTCTGAGGACAATTCATCTGCCAACATCTTGCCAACAGCAAGAGGCAAATAACAGGGTGCTGAGAAAGAAGCCACTCACAAATAACTCAGCCACCACACTCATACCACAAGGCGCCCACAGACACCAGGCTCCTTTCAGCCCTGGCTCTATCTTCTGACTGTTCTGACCTCCAGTCCCACTGCCCTGCAACACTTCACATCATTTTAAACATCCCTCCTGAAAATACCAATTGTCTCTCAGAAATTAATCAAAGGGCTTTGATTAAAACCTCATTTGGAACCTACATCAAAATCAATAAGTGACTGACAAATACACAATTTATTGAAATTTCGTAGAAAAAAAAGCAAATCCTATGTATGTGACACAATGGTGAAAAATATCTTAGTTTCTGTTGACCAGCAATGAAATGGTCTCAATTTCCATTGAAGTCCTTCCTTATGCTGACCCACATATTCCTACTTGTGTCCTATTTCCAAGGCTTGTGCTGTATATGTATAAGCTTATAGATCGCTGGCCCACTTCACAGTTGTATTTCTATTTTCCTTCCCTCTGCCGTATTTCTCAACCCAGCTTACAGTATAGCTCCCCACACTAGATGCAAGCTTCTGCTCATCCAAAAGCCCAGTCCAGCAAAGCTTGCAGCAACAGGGGATGTTCAGCCCCTTGTACCCAGCACAACTCCGACAGAAACAAGAAAACAGGAATTTATCAGGACATTGCCAAAAAGAATTAATTCCAAGGGCAAGACTCTATGTCAGCATCTTCAAAGGAGTAAAACAAACTCAAAAGTGTTCAGCATAGCACCTTGCCTCAGGGAATTTGGGTGCCATGCGATTTAACTGCTGTCAGCTCCTTTCCTGCAGATTTTAACAGAAGTGCCCTCCCAAGCCACGAGAAAAGATAAGGATTTGTATTTCTTAGGAAAAGCTTCTGAAATCTGAACAGTTCCCATCTCTGCAGCCCTCCTTTGCATGCTCTCTCTCATAGTTTTATGTCCTTCTCATACAGTGGTGCCCAAACTGCACGCAGTGCTCAAGGTGAGGCTGCAGCAGTGCCAAGCAGGGGGGGATCCCTATGCACACCTGGCTGCAGTGCTTGGAGCACCCCAGGGAACAGCTGTACCTTCCACTGCCAGGGAACAATGGTGACTCACACAACTTGCCACCAACCATATGTGGTCTGCAGTGTTGACAAACAGGTCTCTATGGTGTAAACAGATGTGTGTTAGCATGAGCTGGCATACAGCTCAGCACACACCCACCGCTCACAACCTCCCAAACTGCTTCAGGAACAACAGCCACTTCAGCAAGCACCATGAATCCTTCAGAAACCAGACATTAAACAAATTCCATCACATTCCTTTGACCAACAGTTTGGGAAGTAGATTCCTAGGGGGAAAGAAAAAGAAAGAAAAGAAAAATCTCTTTAGTCTCAAACTCATTTTACAATACCAGCAGTCCAGCAGGTCTATTTCAGTAATGCATCAGTCTTATCTGACTAATGAGAAAATGGACCTATAGAAGTTTGATTGCTTTCAGTCCAATTACCAGGCATGCAAAAACTAGTTTTTCTTGCTCAGCACATTCGCTCTCAGAGTTCAGAGTCAGTTAAATGGCAACAGGAATGGCATTGTTTCAATGCCCACGAAATCGCAGAGCCAGCAGAGCCATGTGTGTGAGCCTGGATTTCGTGTCTACTTACACATCAATAAAACTATTTACCACGCTCCGATTTCGAGAGCCCCAGCTCCAGTGCTGCGCTGGAAACGTGCGGAACAGGCCAGAGCTGTCCAGAACCAGAGATGCTGCAAGTGTTATTTACACCTACTGAGTTCACGCTTAAAAGCTAAGCAGGATAAAGCAGGGAAACAAGCAACAGATGCTTTCCAGGGAAGGTAAAAAAAAATACAACAATAAAATAATCAACCGATAGAAGCAACAAAACGAATCATGAGGCATTACTTTCTTCAGGTTTGAAACTGATATAAAAAACTTTTAAGATAAAACTGATATATGAAACTTACATAAAGTACACATTTAATAGGAAATTGTACTAGGCACTGTATTACAGCAGTTACAGCCAGGACAGCTGTGCAATCCCTTTGGTTCTTATTTTACTCCTCCGGGAGGATTTCCAGAAGAAATCTTGCTGCAAAAGAGCCAGAGGGGTGGAATGGTGGGAGAGGCCAATATGTGAAAGCACAGGTAGCCATACAACAGCCCCACAGCCCTGGGGCCGGCAGCATCTGTGCCATGGTTCTGCCAGATGCAGCTCTGGCTGGCTCCAGCAGCCAGCTTCCTTCCTTGAAAGGGAAGGAAACTGCTGCTGTGGGTACAAGACAATATATCTTATCTCATGACCCTGAGAGAAATCTTTCTCGCATAAGTTTTGTGATAAGAAAAATAAAAGGGAGAAAAAAGAAACAATCGGAAGAGAAAGGAGCCACATGGAGATAAAAATTACCTAGAACCTTTGCACTACTCATCTGTGAGACCAGCTTTTTGGAGCTCCCCAGAGTCCCAGGCAGCAGCAGCCCCTCTGCACAGAAACAAATTGTACACTCATGCAGAACTAACTTGAGACTTGCATAAGACCACTTTTCAGACACGCTTTCCACAGCAACACAGAGAGCAAAGTGATACAAATAATGAAACTGCTTTAAAAAAAAAGCCATTAAAATAAAGTAACAGGTATAAATTCTGTAAACAGGAAATGCTTTTTCCCCCGCCTCCCTCCCCCCCCCCCTTTTTTTTTTAAAGTAGTTACATTTCCTCTTTCAAGTAATTGTAAAGAAGTTGCAATCACGACTGTGGTTTATTTTAACCAAGTAGCCGACATAACTGAAAACAAGCAAATGCCTTTGACCAGCTTTCTGCACTTGTATCATGAAGAGAAAGCCATCAAACAACCACCAAAAAGCAGGAGCTCATAAAACATTATCTTCCCTAAAGCTAGAGTGCCTTGGTCAACAGAAACCAAACATGTGAGTATACTCATAAATTCCTCCCAAACTGGAAGGCAAGATTTAATGATTATTTCCTGGACAGATTGTGTCTAGGCAGCCCTTAAAACAGCAAGGGGCAAAAAAACTTGAGAAAAGCGATGCTCCTTGGAAAGGTTTTAAGACACAGAGGCTTCAAGGGCAAAACCACCACTCAGAATAGAGACATTCCAGCTCCCTGCCCCAGGCAGCACTAGGAGGGCAAGAAGAGCATCAGAGATGCTGGGTCTGCTGCAAGCCTCCCTGCTCCTTTCTTGGTAGTTAGGGGAGTAAACAGCCTTTTGAGAGCTGTAGGCAAGGAAAGCAATGAAGCACCTACCACACCATCCTTGTGCTTCACAGACATGAAGACACTCAACCCAGTTTTGCTTCCTACCTCAGTTTTATGGCAGCCCCCGCTGCCTGTAAGCCTGCAACTTCCCACTGTAAGCTGTACCAGCATGGACTTCGCTCTTCTTGTTGGGATCAGCTTTAGCTCTTTATACTCTGCCACTTCCGAAGTCATATGCTGCCCATGAGGCATGGCAAAGGATCAACACTGTTTAATATTCAAGTGAAACTGTTGGGTCAAGGTTCTCTGCTTTCCTCTATCTTACACACAGCGATCTGATCGGATCGGGCACAGAGCCATAGTGGAAGGACAAGGGCCATCCAGCACACACAGCCTCACATGCTTTTTCCAGAGTACTGTAATACAGCCCTCCTCCATCACACTGTTCTCAGTGGAAAGCCACTCCCAGCTGTAACTGCTGGTTACTTTGTTCTCTCAGTGCCTTTACCCCTCTATTATCTGATTACTTTTCAAGGCAGGATGCAGCTCAGAGCCAGCTGCTAGGTGAAACACACCATCACAGGGTACCAAGCAGAATTACTACCCCAGCAGCCCCACAGGAATTCAAAGGCCACACTTAAATTTCCCATCCTTGACACATGGTAGCATTTAAACGCCATTCAAGTCCATCACCACACCTCCAGCTCCTCCCTGGAGAAACACGGAACTCAAGGCAAGCGTTAAGTAGGACCAAGGAGGCCAAAACTGTGGATAATGGGTCAAAAACTTTAATAGACATAAGGAGCTGAACTTATTTATCTTCCAAATTTCATTAGTAAATGCAGTAATCTCATAATGCTAGGGTCATTAGCACCCAGAAACTCAATCATTGGTTAAAAAGGATGTCTCAGGTTATTTTATTATTTATCTTAAACTGACCCAATGAGAAAAGCAGCTGTATGACTGCCTCAAGCCAGTGGCAACCAACCAACCAGCAAACCTTTGAGATCAGACAGCAGGACTGTAGTCAGACAGTAAAACTGTAGCATCAGAGGAACCACTCAAATGAAAACTGATAGAGCTGAAGCCAGGCTTTCCAGGCTGTTAAAGCCCCTCCACCAGCATGAGGTCAGGCTCCCAGGGCAGAACGCACGCCCCACTTACCCATAAGCTCTACGGCCAAACCAAAGAAGCTGAGACTTGACTTGCATGATGCTTTACAGCTTCCCTGGGGCACAGCAAGCAAGCATCATTTTAATGCATCTCACGTGGCCCACAGATAACAGAAGTGGAAGGCAAGTAAACGCCTTTCTGTACCATGCAGAGAAAGAACGCATCATCTCAGTTCCTCTCCCAGGTGCAGCTCAGACAGCGCTTTCAGATGCCACTACGTGACAGAGCAGCTCCACCTCTGCATCTTCTGTTCCTTTTTTTTTTTTTTTTTTTCCTCTTGTTAACCAAATGCTTGGGGAAAAAGCAAAGTTTTCCAAGTGACCTTGTTCACGCTTGTTTAAAAAAAGCCCTGCTCCACAGTAAGAGGCAGCTGTGTGTTCTCAGGAAGGGGCGACTGCAAGAAGCAGTGCTGCAGCAGGGTGAGTTGCACACTGCTGTGTGTAGCACTACCTCTGAAAGCTGCACAGGCACTGCTTACTGCCTCATCAGTGCTCTTCCTCACAGCCCGGGTTGTATCACATACTCTATATCCACACATCTGTTGTGAATAACGAAAACAGGCACAGAAAAGACCTGAACTCAGTGCCTAGCTAGCAAAGGTTGCTCAAAGGAACACAATTATAGAAGAGCATAAAGCTGCACAAGGCTACGGCTGCTTCACTTGGCTCTGAACCCCTCCACAACCCCCAGAGACAGCGCGGCTGAACAGCGAGAGCGGAAACAAGCAGCTCAGAGAGCAGAGGAAATTAAGATAGCTGAGCTGCGGAGGGGGCCACCTTGGATATGATGAAAAGGCAATATTAGACCAAGATGGATGGAAGCAAAACAACCATCTCTACCTGCCCTGGGAGAAAACAGAAAGCAGTTCAGCAGATTAATGCTTCCTATTTTTCATTTTAGCTGAACTACGCCAAGGAATAACGCTTCACACAGATCTAAATCACCACTTGGCATCTCTCATTTCTCTCCAGCCTTTCAGCAGTTCCGTTTAGTTTAGTTTCCACCACAACCTGTTGCAAAAAGCAGCATTTGAAGGTGTTTTCAAAAATTTCATACTCACACACACACAAAAAAACTACATAGCTATTCACTTCTTTTCATCTCCCCAGAGATTGCCACCACCCTGCACAGCACAGAGCTCTGCTCCCAGCTGAGGGTAGGGTTGTGGTGAGTACACACAGGGCTCATGGCTTGCTCTCCTGAAGAGGAAGCTGTGGGGTTTTGCACTTTGCAGACTAAGCACCTCTCTCCTTAGACTCTCTTAGAAACCCGCCAGGTGCGGGGCAGACCTCCACCAACATCAGAATATTTATTAGTGCAGGTCTGAAGCGTTACTATCTCATCCAGTTTCGCTAATGACAGCGTTCACTCCTTCATGCTTTCAGAATTTACCATCACTCCTTGCTGAGTCTTTCCCACAGGCAATTATCCAGTAGAAACTTTAGCAGAGGGAAGTAAAACTAGTGACAGCTTTCCCCTTAAGGCCCCCCAGCCATAGCCAGCCTGACTGTTGGTCAGTTTCTCACTGCTCACTTACATTCCCAAGCAGAAACACTGCCACACTTTCACACGAGTTATCACACTTCAGTGCTAACTTGCCCAGTGTTGTCTTGTCCCCTCTCAGAGATTACATCTGCAGGTTCTTTAAACAACAAGCATCTCTGCCTCCAAGGCTCCCTTCATCTCTCCAGCACTCACTGTTCACAGATCAGTGACATGTGCCCCAGGACAATATTTAGCACCAAGAGCAATCTCAGCCTACAAATAACACAACACCACCATTCATTCAGTCCCATGTCACTCAGTGTAATACCAGACATCAGTGGTTTGCTATAATGCTGCTTAACTAGCATTAGATGCATTTGTATTTGTACAATTTGTATAGTAATCCCTCTAGCACACAAAGATTGACTTCACTAGATGTACACCTCTACTCAAACAGCAACAGCCGTAAAAGACGACAGAACTCTGCACAACCCAGCTTTACCAGGTTGCTTTCAAGTGATTTGCACGCAGATACTTCTGTGCATACATGCATGCAAATAAGGGAGGATGTTGCTGATGGAAATAAATACAGCCATGGGAAAGCTACAGCAGCAGATGCTCAGGGCCGTGCAGAGGGTACATGTGGCCAGAAGCAGGTGAACAGGTCACACGAGGACAGAAGTGGCACAACACTGTGCTGCCCTGATGCACACAGGGCTGCAGGACAAGCGTCAGCCATGGCCCCGCTCCTGCAAAGGGTCACTCACCAGAGCCACGTGCTGTCTCCCTTCGCTCGTTTGCCAAACAATGCAGAAGTCAGAAGGTGATGCTTACAACAGCAGTTTAAAAAAAATAAATAAATAAACAACAAAAAAAAAGCGCAACCTTTCAACCTCACCAATGAAAATAAAATACGCCAAAATAACTCATCAGGACTATCACGTCACAGCAGCCCCAAAGGTTTCTCAGGCTCTCAAGGTAACCGAGCACAGCACCACTGAGGGTTCTGCAAACATTTCTCAGAAGTAGCTCTGCGGCTCCAGCAAAAACAGCATCACAAACGAACTTCAATCCCCTCTTAGAAGCCAAATTCAGGGGCACAGATCCAAAACTTAAACCTGGAGACTTCTCCCGAAGAGCAAGCAATGAGACGCACGTACACCCCGTGTACAAACACCATGAAATAAGGGCTTTATCCAGCCTCAGCGAGCGGAGGAGCTGCAGCTCAGCTCACCGCCCGCAGCGCAGCCGAAGCCGGGAGAAGTTCGGGAGGGCCTCGTAGCGCCCAGCGCGGCTGGAGCTCGTTCCTCCCGGCGGAAGAAAGCCCTCACTTTGCTCGCTTTGCCTTCCTACGAAATAACACCTCTGATTGTAACAACGGCACATCCCAATTCCTAAGTGTAAAAAACAAAACCAAACGAAAAAAACACAACGAAGCGCATGTATGTGAAGAAATAAGTAAGGAGCTAGCTTTAAGGGAAGCCAACCAACCGGCACGGGGAAGGCGAGGCTGAGCCGGGCCCCTCTCCGGCAGGCACACCCGGCCCCAGCTCTCCGCGGTGCCCCGCAGAAACGCGAGCAGCAGCAACAGGAGCACCGAGCAGCCCGCCCGCAGCGCCCGCAGCTCCCGCCGGCCCCGAGCGCCGGCCCCGACCGAAGCCCCCGCGGGGCGCCCCGCCCGCTCACCTCGCACGGAGGACTCGGCTCGGCTCGGCCAGCAGACAGGCGGCGCCGGCTCGGCCCAGCGGCCGCGCGCTATAAGGCGGTGGGAGGGCCCATCCCCGGAGCCCCGCTCCGCCCCGAGCCGGCAGCAGGAACGCGGCTGCTGCAAGGAGAGGTGCGCGGCGGTCCGCTGGGACGGGAGCCAGCAGCTTCGTGCCTTTCTTCTCGCTTTCTTTGCCCTCTCCCAGCAACCTCCCAGGGGGCGCACACAAAGCACCCGATCGGACAGGTGAAGTTTTCTCCAGGAACAGACAAGGAGGAGAACGTGCTTGGCCTTCAGCTTGTTTGTCAAACTATAAAATGCCCGTAGCGAGCTGAAAGCTGAAAGAGCTGTATTGAATATCTAGAGAAGAGAAGGCTCTGGAGAGACCTGGGATCTTTCGGTGTAAAGGCAACAAGGTTGGAGATGGACTTTTTACCAGTGCTTGTGGTGACAGGACAAGAAGCAAGAGTTCTAAACTGAGAGAGAGGAAATTCAGATCGGATATAGGGAAGAAATGTTTTGCTGTGTGGGTGGTGAGGCCCTGGCGCTGCTGCCCAGAGCTGTGGGTGCCCCATCCCTGCAGGTGCCCCAGGCCAGGCTGTTGGGGACCTGGCAACCTGAGCTGGTGGGGGGCAGCCAGCCCAGGGCAGGGGGTTGGAACTGCATGGGCTGCAAGGTCTCTTCTCAACCCAAACCATCTTATGATGTGAGAAAATCGTGTTAAAGAAAGGCCAGAGAGGTTGGTAAAGTCTGATGACTTTTCAGAACAATCCTGGTAAATCTTCCTAAGTTTTGCAGTGAGGAAGGATGAAGAACATAG